CATGGCATCAATCCACTGTTGAGAGTTAGAACTTTTCATGGCCTGAGAGAAGTTGATTGGATCATCTTCTAACATTCCACTACTTTCCTCATGTTCTTGGAGAAATACAATATAATCATCCGGAATAGCATTTCTCCTTTCTCTCGTGGATCTCCTTAATGGCACTGGTTCTTGAGGTTGTTGAGTTTGTTCTTCTGGAACAGGGAGTTGTTCAACATTATCATCTTGAGGTTCCGGATTTACTTCTTGAGCAACAACAGGTATAGGAACCTGAATATTGTCAAAAGTAACTGTATGGATTGGATCTGAAGCCAATTCCTCCTCAAAACTAATGTCTCTAACCTTATTTCTCCCCCCAAACTCAACATCCTCAAAGAATGTTGCTGTTCCCGTCTCAAAAATATTCCTTATAGTGGGATCATAAAACTTATAGCCCCTAGAGCGATCAGGGTACCCAATAAAGTAGCTGCTAACTGTTTTGGAGTCCAATTTCTTTTCATTTGGCCTATAAGGCCTTGCCTCAGCTGGACATCCCCAAATATGTAAATGCTTTAAACTGGGCTTTCGACCAGTCCAAAGCTCATAAGGTGTTTTAGCAACTGCTTTACTTGGTACTCTATTCAGAATGTAAGCTGCTGTCTTAAGTGCTTCTCCCCAGAGTGACTCTGGTAAAGAAGAATGAGCAATCATACTTCTTACCATATCCTTAAGAGTCCTGTTTCGTCTTTCAGCTACACCATTCATGCTAGGTGAACCCGGCATAGTGTACTGTGGGACGATACCGCATTCCTCTAGGTATCTAGCAAATGGTCCTGGACGTTGTTCACCTGAACCATCATATCTACCGTAGTACTCACCACCACGATCAGATCTGACGGTTTTAATTCTTCTGTTGAGTTGATTCTCAACTTCAGCTTTATAGGCTTTGAACATGTCCAGAGACTCAGATTTTTCATGAATAAGATATAGGTGCCCATAACGTGAGTAATCGTCTATGAATGATATAAAATATTGTTGACCATTCCAGGATTCCGTAGGGAATGGCCCACAAATATCCGTATGTATCAATTCTAAGACATCCGAAGATCTGTTGGCACCTAATCTCTTCACTTTGGTCTGTTTTCCCTTGATACATTCAACACATACGTCGAAGTCCGAAAAATCAAGGGAATCCAAAATGCCATCAGACACAAGACGCTCAACTCTACCTTTTGAGATATGACCTAAGCGCTTATGCCATAATGTCGCCGAATTTTCCTTATTTAATTTACGCTTAGTACCACGTGATTCCACATGCAAGGATTCATTGTAAGAAGCAATTGTATCAAGCAAATATAGGTTGTCATAAATACTCAAGTAACCGGTTCCCACAACATTTGAATTAAAAGATAAACTGAATTGACTGTTTCCAAATGAACAAGAATAACCTGATTTGTCCAATACAGAAACAGAAACCAAATTCCGTCTAAAAGACGGTACTACAAAAGTATCTTTTAAATCCAAATAATAACCAGTTCCTAACAACAACCTAAAGTGCCCAATTGCTTCCACATCTACCGATTGTCCGTCGCCCACAAAGATGTGTCTTTCAACATCACTTGGCTTTCGGTAGCTCAGGCAACCCTGCATAGAAACACTTATGTGAGTAGTAGCACCAGAGTCTAACCACCAAGTGTTTCTAGGTACTGAAGCTAAATTAACCTCAGAACAGACCAAAGCAAGGAACGTACCCTTATTATCACGCCAGGCGTGATATTTTGTACAGTCCTTCTTTACATGTCCAGGCTTCTTACAGAAGAAACAACCCTGATTATCCTTATGTTGTTTCTTCTCAACTGGACCCTTAGCAGCTTCCTTATCATTCTTCCTTTTCTTGCCCTTATCCTTAGAGGCATAGGCCAAATGAGCACTTTCTGTCTTATCTTGCTTCAACCTGTCTTCTTCTTGCACACAGTATGAAATGAGCTCATTTAGAGTCCATTTCTCCTTTTGACAGTTATAACTGACCTTAAATTGGTTAAACTGTGCAGGAAGAGACAACAAAACCAGATGCACTAATAACTCGTCACAAAGATCGAGTTTAAGTGCCTTAAGCTTTGAAGCAATATGAGACATTTCCATAATGTACTCCCTGATATTTCCTTTGCCCTTATACTTCATTGAAATCAAGCGAGCTAAAAGCGTGCTTGTTTCTACCTTATCGTTTTTCGCAAAACGCTTCTCAATTTCGGCAAGGAAATCTTTAGCCTTAGTAATCCCTTCGGATTCTATGCCCCTGAAGGCTTCCGGAACGCCGCGCTTAATGATCATAAGACTCATGCGATTTGAACGCTCCCACTTCTCATGCTCCTTCTTTGCATCAGGAGTGCTATCCGCATTGAGAGGTTGGGGTTGTTCAGTTCTTAATGCATAGTCAAGATCCATGCAGCCAAGAACAATTAATATGTTCTCTTTCCAAACCTTGAAGTTTGTCCCATTTAGCATGGGAATTGAGTTGATGTTAGCAGAAATTGTTGCAGCAGATGCATTAGCTGAAATAAAACAAAAATGCTCACATCAATAACCATAATCAATAAAATTCAAATAATGACAATCCCCATCCAAGATACCGGCACAACATTAATATCAAGTCTTTGGACAGTAATATTAACTTGTAAGTGATACCTTGTTGCAATGATCAAACATTGACAATAACTCATGTCAAATAATGAAACTATCTTTGGATCGATTCATTATTCACATGTAAACCTTATAATTGTCACACGCTTATCATCGCAGATGTGTATACAGTCTAAATAAATATTAACCTTCCTTTGGGCCGATTAAATATTTACACGAAAGCATACACACAAACATCTCACATTCCTCATGAACAATCTACACAAGAGAGGTTACTTTGGCAACTTCTTGTTTCAATTAATCAATTGGAGTGAGAGACAACCTTAATACCTTAGTGTCATAATATTTGAATTAAATAATTGATTAAAAACCAAATTAGATTTAAATTAAAAAGTTTTAATTTAAATCAACTGAATTTCCAAAAACTTAATTGGGGTCTCACAGCTTAATTAGGGCCCATAACTTAATTGAATAAATTAAGTATACCAAAGTGGACCCATGAAAAGCCGAGGCTTAACCATAATGAACACGAAGTTCCCTTAACTTCGAACGCGAGGTTCGACTGTATTGAGTACGAGACTCACTTAAGCACGAACGCGAGGTTCGTCTGAAAATGAACGAACGCGAGGTTCGTTTGATAAAAGAACGCGAGGTTCAACTTGGGAACGAACGCGAGGTTCGTTAAAAAAAATGAACGCGAGGTTCAACTGAAGTACGAACGCGAGGTTCGTCTGAAGTACGAACGCGAGGTTCGTCTGAAGTTCGAACGCGAGGCTCGACTGAAGCACGAACGCGAGGTTCGTCTGAAGTACGAACGCGAGGTTCGTCTGAAGTACGAACGCGAGGTTCGTCTGAAGTACGAACGCGAGGTTCGTCTGAAGTACGAACGCGAGGTTCGTCTGAAGTACGAACGCGAGGTTCGTCTGAAGTACGAACGCGAGGTTCGTCTGAAGTACGAACGCGAGGTTCGTCTGAAGTACGAACGCGAGGTTCGTTAAAAAATTGAGCTTGACGCTCACCTGAGTTGAACGCGAGGTTCACCTTGGGAACGAACGCGAGGTTCGTTGAAATTGAGCTTGACGCTCACCTGAGTTGAACGCGAGGTTCACCTTAGAACGAACGCGAGGTTCGTTGAGCGCGAAGCTCGGTTAAAATTGAACAAACGCGAGGTTCGTTTGAGGTAACCACCTCCTTAATTTTCGCCATGAACCCTTAGGGTTTCAAATTGAAACCGCCGCCGACAAACCCAAAAAACCTTTGATTTTTCTTTTCAAAACAGATCCAGAATTGGAAAAAATTGAAGGAAAAATCAAAGAAAAATCCAAAAAATTCCCAAAAGTTACTGTTCACCAGCGATTTTTCAGTTATTGTTCATCCGAAAAAAATACTTTACTGTTCATCCGAAAAAAATTTTCGCTACTGTTCATCCGAGAACATTACTGTTCATCCGAACCCAAAAATTAAATCTTTAACCAGAGATTTAAGATCAAAAACCCAATAAAACTTAAATCCCTAAGAATTAATCAAGGTGGCTCTGATACCACTTGTTATATCTACATCAAAACTTGAGATCTAAAACCATATAGCCATGATTAATTCAAAGAGATTAACAATAATCAAAAGAGCGGAAGCTTATACCTGAATCCATGGATGAAATCTTGATTTGGGTTTTTGATGATCTTCTAACCTTAGGGTTCCTCTAAAATCCGAATTTCTCTCTTAGATGGGGGTGAAGAGAATTAGAGAATGTAACCCTAGGTTAGGGACCATAACCCCTTATTTATAGATGTTGTACTTTTGTAATTTAGCCCCTCAATAAATTACAATTACAACCTGGTATCTGCACATATAACTTATTTAAATACCAAATTAACCCAACTTAATTGATCACTTTAGTGGGTTATTCTGAAAGATAGCAATACACATTGATTAATCATATGTGCCCACAAATAGATTTATTAGATTAAATCCAACACATACTGCTTACTAATAATTTTCATAGCATCCAATAACGAAAGACTGTCAAAAAACCAACCAATAAAAAGCAATATTGTAGAGATAATGTTCATGAATGTCATGTTTTATTGTATTGTTTAGTTGATACTAACTCTATGACAAAAGCAAAATGGTCTGGATTTATCCGGACCGACTGCAACCGTATCCGTTCATAAAACAGATATGATAGGAAAAAATGAAAACCGATCGGATATGGTTTACGATTTAGATTTTTTATCCGAATACGATTATCGGGTCGAAATTACGGAAACGGTCCGGATATCCGGATATTTGAAATAGACTAAGTATAATACTTGTATTGGGTCGGGTCTATAACATATACTCATGCTATCCGCAACCGACCCTAATTCAACCAAAAAACACACACACACACAAAAAAAAAAAAAACTCTTATCACGCCTCTAAGCTTGGCCTCCGTCTCCGAGCTCCACCTCCGGCTCGGCGTCCGTATGCGCTTCCCCTCCGCCTTGGAGCATGCTTGAGGAATTTAGATTATAATTCGCAAATGAATTATTAAAATTCTGAGTGCTCAATAAATTTGATGGATAGTCTATTTTCAGTGGTAAAGTGCTTGGGAAAAGGATCTCAGTATTGCTCACAACTAATAATCAGTTTTTTCATTAAAAAAAAACTCAGTTTTCCCCCCTGTAACAATCCAGAAGTCTCGTTGGACGCTTTGCTCAGTCTCAGACACATTACGATGATAAAAACTTCTCCGCACATCGCTGTGACTCTCTCCCTCAAGCGAAGATTTCATTCTTGAATACTGAAACCCTCGTCCTCCCCGCTCCGATTCAAAGCAGGCGGCAACTCGAGGTACTTTGTTCTTTCTATCTTTGTTCTTTATATTCGTGCCCACAAACTGTTCGATACATTGCCCATTAGAAATCTCCTCTTGATTTTGATGATTTATGGAGTTTATTTCAGTTTCGTAGCATTATTGTTGTTGGTTACAGTCAAAGTTTTCTTCTGATTCCAATAGCTGATTGAAAGTTACTTTTAATGGTGTTCTAAGGTTTGTCATACAGAATAACAACAAAGTCTATGAGGTAAATTGTCTTACTTTGCGAGTTAATAAAATCATATGTAATTTTTGTCATATCATATTCATATCTATTTCCCAAATATCCGATTAATATCCGTATCCGACTCTCTAATATCCGAACTGTATCCGTTTCCGTTTAATGCGAATATGATAATGTTTTTTTCTTACCGATGAATATCTGAATCGTATCCGTATTCGTTTTTAGAAAGTGGTTATGGTTATGACAAATGTCATATTCGAACCGTATCCGAACCGAATGCACCCCTAGTAGCATAGATCTTACATGAAAGGATCACTTAGGATGTATGAAGCTAACTTGCAAAGTCGCATTTAAATGTCATGGTTTATGGGCATGTTTGGCAAATGGTCGAAGTGGCTTAAACATGTTTGGCAAACTAGCTTATTTTAGCTTATAAACAATCAAAAGATGCATTATTTTTTGGTGACTTATAAGCCATAAAATTTAACCAAGTAAAATACCAATAAACCCCTTCATCATTTCATTAAAAATTCCAAACCCCATTTATCTCTCTCCAACACCCATTAAATGCTTTTATTCATTTTGACAATAATGATAACTTAGACGGCACACATTTGCAAACGCTCCACTAATGAATTATAATCCACTAAATTTAGCAAACACTTTAGCTTGTTATCCACTTGGCTTTATAATTCCACCAAGTGGATTATAATCCAAAGTTGCCAAACATGCCTATATATTTTCCATGATTTTGCAAGAACAGGTAGAATCACATTTGCCATCAATCCACTAAATTTTGTTCATCCTAACTGCTCTATGCTCTTTTGTTAAGTGTAATTTAACTATAAGCTAACCAAGCAGAAGTGGGACCCTCGTCTTGGGCTTCTTGTGTTGGATTTCCCAGTTATGGCGATACAAAATGATGGTTGAATAGAAATTTTAGCGTAGCCCAGTCAGAAATCTAGTAGTGAGATGATTTTGAGGGTAAATTTACAAATACAAAGATTGTGGGGGCACAGTTTAGAAAGATCATAGATTAGAGGGGTATAAATAAGTGAAAAATTCAACAAAAGCCTACGATTTGGTCCGATTAAAGCAGTAAAAGGTCATGGGCCGTATTTCTTAGTCCAATAAAACAATACCCGGCCCGTTTCTTCTTCATTACAGAGACACAAACGCTGAGTTCTCGTTCTTTATGTTTCTCAGCTTCAGGTCCATGGCAATCCCTTCTCTCTTCCTCCAAAGGCTGAGACCGAGGAGAACAAGTCATCATCAGCTTCTTTCAAACTTTCCTCGACTCAGGTACTGATCAAAGCTCACACCTTTATGCATTCCATTTAGTAAAAGGAATCAAGAAGACCCATGCAACAAATCGTGGGCTTTGAGGAGTGTAAATTCTGGTTATGGAAATCTTACTAAATTTGAAAGGGAATCAAGGTGAGAATCTGCATGCCCATTTCTTTGTTTCAAGCTGATGTTGGAATTAGCCATTGTTAATGGCTGATATGGTTATTTACAAAATGGGGCAGATTCTATTGTTGTGACTTAGGATTTGGTGTTGCGTTTTCATGACACTAGTGGATACCCAATTTTAACTTTTGAGGCTTTGGTTTAGTTTTGTAGATTCTAATGTTGTTATGTGACTATTTTCAGACCCCGATTTTTATTGCGGAACAATAACCCAGGATTTAAAAGCTTATTTGCAATTTAATACCCAATGTGTCAACCTTTTTAAACTTTGATTCCTGAAGATTTATTTGGACAATTTGATACCCCAAAGTTTTCAATTTGATGTTAATTTGATCGTTTGATATTGCAAAGCCCTACCTTTATTTCTCACTTCCTACACTAAGAATGCTGAAATGTGGTAAGAAGATTTGTTTCCTATTCACTTTTCTATAGTGGTATCTTCAACAGAATTAACATCAACATTTTCTTTTGCTGTGGGATATCAAGTGTCAAAATAGAACTTTCATAGTATCGAAGTTAAAATAGAGTGGAACATTGGGATATTAAAGTGCAAATGACCCTAATATAAGTTCAATACCTAGAGAAGAAGAGAGTAGAACGTGCTCATATAGACCTTTTTGATGTTAGAAAAACCATTAAGCTAATTCCAAATATTGTTAACAAGGCTTGTTTTCATATAGGGTTTAATCGTTATGGGGTAGAGTTACAATACACCTAAGGGTAACTATTAGTTAAAATATTTCTACTAATTGGCACATTCTCTGGCATTATTTCACTTTTTTCTCAATTGTCTCATGTTTAGAGATCTGTTAATTGCCCAATGATGAAGGATCCATCACAACTGAAGTATCCTAATTCTTTATTATAGTCTTGCCCCTTTTTGCAAGGTTCTCGATCAAATATCTGTAAATAGGTTTCTTAGTGGACTGGAATGCACCCGGTTTACTCGTATTTGTACTATTCATACAAGCCGGCATCTTACCAACACAAGCGAAGTAGTGGAGGCTCAAAATAGTAGCACAGGAGATGTGACAGTCGATGCCAATGGCAGCACAAAAGTAAAAAGGAAAAAGTTGAAAGGAAGAAGAGCAGTTGTAAAGTTTCTGAAGTCCTTGAGGTGGAAGAAGAAGAAAGAGTATGAAAGGATGACCGCAGAAGAAAAGATTTTGTACAAATTGAGGAAGGTAAATTTGTTCCTTTTTTATTTGCTCTTATATACTTTGCAAAACTGAGGAAGGGTTGCATGTCACATGATTTTGAGTAAAATTTGTATGTATAGAATCTGGAAGCAACTAATTTTCTTGATGGATGTTCATTATTGTGGAATAATATAAGAAGTACCAAATTAGAGAAGATTGTTTGGGGAGTGCTTTTGTTCACCTCTCTCTTAGAAATACAGGATTTTCTTTGATCCCTCCTTTAGATGCAAGGTTGTTTTTCACCCTTTTTGGCATGTGATCAAATCCCTAAACTTTCCAATTGCATAAAAGAGCTCTACTTGATAAGTGATCCTAGTTCTGTGGAATTATCGTGAAAGATCTCTAAGATTCCATAGATATCTGTTGAAACTATCGGCTTTCTCCTAGAGTTTAGATTAATCTAAACCAACTGGTTTTTTGCCGGCCTTAATTTGGTCGCCCAAATTGAAGATAAAGCATCAAACTTCCATTTGACCTGCAGAGCCGCTTATCTTGTCCTGATCCTTCAAGATTAATGGTCTTTCTGCTTGCGAGAGTTCTTTCTCATGATCTGTATTCTGGTGATGGTTTTGGTTCTCATCTTATTCTCTAGGCAAAGCTTCTCTTAGAGCATGTTTGGCAAGTGGTCAAAGTGACTTGTAAGCCACTTCGACATGTTTGCCAAATGGATTATTTTGGCATATAAGCCTTAAAATAAGCTAGGGTACCCTAGTTTATTTTTCTGTGGCATCTAAGCCAGAAGTTTTGACCAAGTAAAAGATTAACATACCCCTTATTAGTTCACAAACTTCGAAGTCCCATTTTATCTCTTTCTAACCACATTATACACTTTTTGGTTGTTTTGACAATGATGATGGCGTTTAAGCCATCCATATGCCAAACGCTCTACTATTGAAAGTGGATTATAATTCACTAACTTTACCAAACACTTCGGCTTACAATCAACTTAGCTCATAATCCATTTGTGGATTATTAGCCAAGTGGATTATAATTTAAAGTTGCCAAACATGCCCTTAATGTTACTTGCTATGCTTTTGTACAAAATTTTGCTTCTGCATCTGAGTACTTCACCTAATTCCAACTCCTTGTTTGAGTTGCAGAACGTCTTATTTCTTTGTCATGTTTGTTCATTGATTAGAAAGATGCTTCACTTTTGTGATTATATGGGCAAAAAGATTAAGATGGATATCGAGATGAAGTCTCATGAAGAACTCATATTATTTTAATGCTTCCAACGTGTGAGCTAAGTTGACTTGGTGTATTTGTTGACCTACATATCTATTGTCCCTCAACGATACCTGAAAGCAACTTGGGACTTTCTGGACTTAAATGTTCCATTGAACTGTATTCTATACTTTAAATGGTTCGAATGATTACAGAACATGTGTTTTCCCTTTCCTTTGTAACAATGTATTTGCTTGATGTCTTTAAAGGCTCGAAAAAAGGAAGAACGACTTGTTGAGGCATTAAAGAAAATTGAACCTTCAGAATCATCTGAAACTAAACACGACCCAGAGATTCTTACACCAGAAGAGCATTTCTACTTACTAAAAATGGGCCACAAGTGCAAGAACTATGTCCCTGTGGGAAGACGTGGGATATTCCAAGGAGTAATTCTTAACATGCATTTGCACTGGAAGAAGCATCAGACACTGAAGGTTATTGTGAAGACCTTCACTCCAGAAGAGGTTCGAGAAATTGCGGCTGAGCTCGCTAGATTAAGCGGGGGAATTGTGCTTGAGATACATGAGGATAATGAGATTATCATGTATAGAGGAAAGAATTATTCGCAGCCACCAACTGAGATCATGTCACCTAAGGTCACACTGTCCAGGAAGAAGGTATGCATTTTCACCAAGCACTACTTGAAGTTTATGTTGTATTAGTGGAATGCCTGGTGTTACCCATGGGCTCCATTTTATGTACTAAAGAAAGTGAAATAGTGTATTGTTGTACTGAAAATGAGAAAAACTTAGGAAGGATGTTTATATTGGACACATAAGGAAGTATATAAAGAAAAGTGTTTTAAGTGCTATTCTTTCGTTTGCTTTTTTTAAAATGCTCGCAAAGCTATCCATAAGCATTCTGACTTTTTCCAACAATGCCAATATCATGAGATTTATAAGCATGTAGTGCTAAAGAGAGTCCATTAAATGCACCAAGTGTAAGAAAGTGATAAAATTGTAACTAATGGAGAAAGGAAGATTAGATGTAGGACTTAGAGAACTGGGCTAGAAGCTGTTATGATAGATATGATAATGAGTAACTTAGTGGAGGAGATACCCTAAACAGAACTCAGTGAAGGGGCATGTTTCATATAGTTTTGACACCAAAATTTTGGGATAAAAGCTTTATTGTTATTGTAGTGCTAATAAGAGCGTGATGCTCAACTAAATATGGGATGCCCTAAGATTAATTCTGTCCTTTTTTCATTTTGTTACTACGAGCCACCTTTCTTTAATTATAATCTGAGAGTAATGTACCTTGTGCTTTCATTCAGGCCCTCGATAAATCCAAGCACAGAGATGCCCTAAGAGCTGTTCGAAGGTTCATTCCGAAGCTCCAACAAGACCTCGAAAGTCTTCAGATACAAATGAAAACAATAAGTGAAAACAAAGTAAAGGATTCAACAGAGAAAGAACTTCTCGGTACAGGTATCAATGACAAAGGATCTGATCATCTACTTGATAACTCTGATGAATTTCAAGATGAAGAAGTAGAAAAAGAACTTGATGGAGACGAATCCTTGGAGGAATCTGATATTCTGTCAGAATCTGAAGCTCTCTCTGACTTATTTGAAACGGATACTGATGAAGGGAAAATAGAGGAGAAAGAAGAAACACCTCTATATCTGAACACCTTAGAAAAGTTTTCTTCAGGTGGTGATGATAAAGAGCAAGTTGATTTTGAGACTCATTTGCGCCAGATTTCTGCTGCAGCAAAGAGAGGTGATTCACCGGAAAATAATAATGTAAAAGTATCTGATTTGGATGAGATTGACCAGATTTTCTTGAGAGCTGACTTTCTATTGAATAAAAAGAGAAGGTGATTTCTAAATTTTTGGAAAGAGATTTACATGTAAATTTGTTTTGGTTTTTCATTACTATGTGAATTGAGGATGACTTGGTTAGCATTTGTATTTGAAGAAATGGAGTAATATATCCAAATGATAATGATTAATGAATTGTTTAAGCTGAATTATTTTAAATACATATTCTAATGAATCTAAACCAAAGAAAAAAAAGACAAAGGGAACAAGTCCTTTGAATTTTTTTTTGTATTTTCAAACTAAACTAGTTAGGCAGTCTATATTTTAGCTATTTATCTCATATAAAGCCTAAAACATCTAATAAACCATTCTTAATTCATTACCACACTAGAAATTTGCGGTTTTTACCCTTAATTAGAGTAGGTGCAAGTTAAAATTTTGAGCCTATGTTTTAGCTATTTACCTCTATGTCCCCAATATCTATCTAATTTGCAGCTTTATCCTTCAA